CAGTCACCCAGTGAGACAGAATTATCCTCCCTTTTTAGGTAAGGAGACTGAGGCTCAAAGGGGTTAAGTAACTCACTCAACGCCACATAGTCGATACATGGCAGAGCCAAAATTTGAAATCAGAACCCAAGCTCTCTTCATTATACTTTTACTGCTTCCCCATAATCCTCTCCGCACTGTCCTTAGAAAGCTGTTGTCTAGACTCTAATGGTCATTGACAAGAACAGCCCCCTCCTCTAAGCCTACCCATTTCACAGTCCAAAGGCTATAATCATTGAAAGTTTTTTCACACCTGAGTCAGATCTGTCTCCATAGTTTCCACCCACAAGTCCTCCATCTGCTGTCTGTGAGCCACTAAGAACAAGCCTAACCACTCTTTCACAGAGCAGGCTCTCTAATATTGGAAAATATGGTATAAAATTCTATCATGTTGGACTCTACAGTATATGCTTTGTAAGAGCAGGCATATCCAAAAGGGATCTTATCTGAATTGCATGCAGCTTTATTCTCAACTCTACAGAACATTACTTTGAAATTGCTTAGTACATTAGCAGGCATTCAACAAATATTCATAGAATGGATGAAAGCCAGCCAGACTGGGGCGGTAGAGTATGGTTGGTGGGGCAGCAAACATAAATGAGATACCCCTTCCCCCATTACTTTCTCTACATATCATGGTCTTATGTTCATATTGCTTCCTCTAAGATATTTTTATCAAAGTCTTAACCACCATGTTAACAGATACCTGAAAAACTAGTTAGAGGCACCACTTTCAGAAAATATGTTAAGTTCTGCTTCTTTCCCATCCCCCAACCACCTACCCTTGTTTCCAGGTGGTCAATGTTCTTTCAGCTAAACTTGGGGGACTAATACACCCTAAAAAGAGACTCATCTCATTCTTTAGACATACATTTTTATAGAACCGAAGATCTGACCACCATGGAGATGAGTTGTCATTCTACACCATAAATATATACTATATATATGTCACAGCAGCCATTCCAGAGCAACTGCATTGTTTGTCTTACTCCGCGAATTTTTGGAACGTTTGAACTGGCAAAACAACTTTTAAACTAGGCCAGAGCAGCACTGTTTTCCAAACAACTGATTGTAAAGCTAACAGGAAAGCAGGCGTCCTGACTATGAGGACTGATAATTAAAGACACTCTTTAGAATCAGTAAAGAGCCGGGTATGCTGAAGAATGACTTAGCTTATTAGTACCAACAGAAATTCCTTCTATTTATGTATTTCCCCTTCTTTTTCTCATAAAAACCTCTTGCTTTCACCCCATAATCAAAACACTGATTGGGCTGCTGTCAGAATCAGTGCTTCCGGAATAAAATCAGTGTTTATTTTTTGTGTGATCTCAAATAAACGCTTGTTGCCTCTCACTGTGGCTTATTTCAAGGTTAAAAAAAAAAAGGACATATAAATTGGTAAACTTCATACCCACGGAAAAGTAATTTGTTGCATCTAAGACATACTATAAAGCACTGGGGGTGGATACACCGGGAAGCAGCAGTGGGGAGAAGGAACAGCAGTTTTTTTCACTGTAGACTGTATCCTTTGCCGCTCTGTCTATGCGATTAAACCAATATTAGAAATTGTCTAGCCTTATATTCACTATTTAGAAATCTGGAAAGGGTGGAGCAGCCGAACTGTGACCCTAAGACGACAGGTACAGAGACAGGCAGCGGGAGTGCAGGGCCCCTTAAACACATTTGCTGACTATGCCAAGCGCGCCTGCAGGCAATGCTTCACGTTGCCCGCCAGCGACCTTCCCTCGGGACGGCTGTCACCGATATCGTCTAGGGCCACACTCCCAGCGCTCACCATTCCTACTCATGCACCACGCCGGGCAAGGGGCGGCTCCTGAAGCTCTCGGGGCCTCAGTTTCTTCACCTGTAGATGGGGCTGGCATCACGGAGGAGAGTTTCTACCGCGCTCGCAGCAGCACCGCGGCGTTTCGAGGCTTCTGGCCGAGGCAGCAGGAAGGTGGGCTTTGTCCCAAAAGGGGGCGGGAAGGGGGTGCACCACCCCGGCAGCGCGACTCAGCCGCCCGGGCCCTGGCAGGCTTTCCGGGAGGAGGCCGGGACCGCCCGAGCCGGGGAGGCGCCCCCGCGGCCT